CGACAGGCGCGCACTACCACACCCGGCTAATTTTTTATTTATTGTAGAGATGAGGTCTTGCCAAGTTGCCCAGGTGGGTCTCGAACCCTCGGGCTCAGGCATTCCACTCACCTCAGCCTCCCAAAGGTGCGGGATTACAGGCTGAGCCACCAAACCCGGCCAAAAAGATTTTTTTAAAAAGCCAGGCATGGTGGTGCATACCTGTAGTCCCAACTACTTGGGAGGCTGAGGCGGAAGGATTGCCTGAGTTCAGGAAATTGAGGCTTCAGCGAACTGTAATTGGACCACTCCTGCCTGAGTGATAGAGAGAGACCTTGACTCAAAAAATAAATAGGCCGGGCTTGGTGGCTTACACTATAATCCCAGCACTTTGGGAGGCCGAGGCGAGTGGATTCCCTGAGCCCGCGGGTACGAGACCAGCTTGGGCAAGTTGATGAGACCTCATTTCTACAATAAATCAAAAATTAGCCGGGCGTGGTGGCGCATGCCTACAGTTCTGGCTACTCGGAAGGCTGAGGCGGAAGGATTGCCGGAGCCCAGCAGGTCAATGCTGGGGTGACTGAGAGTGTGCCACTGCACTCCAGCCTGGGTGACTGGGTGACAGAGTGAGACTGACTCAAAAAAAAGTTAAATAAATACATAAATAAATAAGCAAATAATAGAAATCTCTGTGGAAACCATGTCTTTATTTTCTCAGAGCATACATCAGTGTTTGTCCTGGGGGAAGGTGACGCCGATGGCCTTCCTCACCTCCTCAAGGATGTCAGCCAGGAGCTCACTTTCTGCCAGGGGAATCACAGGACTTTCCTTCAGGCCTAGGGGGAGAGGGCAGTTAGGGATCCCTTTCACCCACACACTTAAAACCCAAAGAACTACAATTCCCAGCGGTGCGCTTGGGACAGTAATATGCAATTCTGCAGACAAATGCCCCAGGGGATTCTGGGAGATGTAGTTCTAAACAGCCAGATGCCAGTCTGAAGGGGTAGGGAGAAACTTAATGTCCCCTGGCCAGGCTGGGCGCCCACCCCACCCCTCTGACCCCATCCTCCACCTCCTTACCCTTGCGCAGGCACTCCCGGACATGCTTGGCCTCGTAACTCATGCCTGCCCCGTAGTCAAAATGACAGTCGTTGGGGACTGGGGGCAGCGGGAACTGCTTATGCTCCTTCTTCATCACCAGCTCTGTTGGGCACCAGCAGGGGTCGAGGATCTGGGGAAGGTAATAAGTGGCCCTGCTGCCCTCGCCAACAAGACTGCTGGGGCTCCTGTCCAGGACATGCTGGGGAGCCCAGGAGCCTCCCTCCCCCACTAGTGGCTTGCCTTGTCCTCCTTCCTGGTTGGTAGGGGTGTGTTTCTTAGCCCTACTGTTGTTACTCTGAAATCCTGCCTGTTGATCTGGTGTGGTGGTTCACACCTGTCATCCCAGCACTTTGGGAGGCAGAGGTAAGAGGACTGCCTTAGCCCATGGGTTTGAGACCAGCCTGGGCAACTTGGCAAGACCTCGTCTCTACAATAAATCAAAAATTATCCTGTGGTTCCAGCTACTTGGAAGGCTGAGGTGGAAGGATGGCATGGGCCCCGTAGGTTGAGGCTGCCAAGTCGTGAGTGTGCTACTGCACTCCAGCAGGGGCGACAGAACGAGACTTTAACTCAAAAAAAAAAAAGCTGGGCTCTGTGGCTCAGCCTGCAATTCCGTGCCTTGGGAGGCTGAGGTGAGTGGACTGCCTGAGCCCGCGGGTTCAAGACCTGCCAGAGCAACTCGGCGAGACCTCATCTCTACAATAAATAAAAAAAAAAATGAGCCGGGCATGGTAGCGCATGCCTATAGTTCCAGCTACTTGGAAGGCTGGGGCGGAAGGATCGCCGGAGCCCGGCATGTCGAGGCTGCGGTGGCCGGGAACAGCCACTGCACTC